CTTTTGTCAACCCTTTTGATTTTGGATTTGATTTTGACTTCATTGCTATTCGTATACTAGAAGAATCTTATTATTCAGTCAACTTTGAACGTCTTATAGCAACTGAATTACAACCTTTAGTACCTCTTTCATTAGAACCTCCAAGAAGAAATATAATGGACGCAGATCAATTTAATACCTTCGTTACTCAACTCACTAATTCTATCGATCAACTTGCTCAAAACAGACTTCAACAACAACCGCCGAAAAGAGAAACCAACCTAGTCTCAGTAAAACATTTTTCAGGAAAAAGTGAAGAAGATCCATCTGATTGGATTGCCCACTTTGAGAAAGCTGCAAAAGCTAACAACTGAAATAATGAACGAATGGTTGAAATTGCTGAAGGATTCCTCAATCATGTAGCTGCTGATTGGTATGAGAATACTACATTTGAATACGGTTGGAAAGTTGAACCTGATGAGGATGGTGCTAAAACCTTTGTATTTAAATTTGTAAATCATTTTTCTACGATTGAACAACAAAACAAATGGCATTACGCGCTCAATAATATTTTTCAAGGGAGAGATGAAAAAGTAGAATCGTATTCTAACAGATTCAAAAGATTGAGAAAGAAGGTAGACCCTGACAATGAACTACCTGAACCATATGTCATTAAATTGTTTTTAAAAGGATTGAAAAAAGATTTAGTACGATATGTTGCTGCTAGTAAGCCTGCTGATATTAATGAAGCAATTCAGGAGGCTATTGATTATGAAGCTGGAGTTTATTTTGAAAGACAAGCTGAAAGACAGGAACGTCAAGTAGAACGAAAAGCTAGAGCTCCTACTGAGGATGCTCTTGAAGCTCTAACTAAACAAATGGAAAAGTTAACTCTTAACTATGCTAATATAGTTTCAGCTTTAAATGTTCAAACTCAAACGAGACCTAAAGTCACAGGACAAAAACCAGATAAATCCCAGATCACCTGTTTTAATTGTCAAAAGAAAGGTCACTACTCTAGGGAATGTAATTTGCCTCCTAAAAAGAGAAGAGATGCAAATATGGTCGAAGTTTATTCTGATCTTGATTCAGAAGATGAAAAAGAAACCTATGAAGAGGTCTATACTACTCCAAAAGTAAGGGTCACTCCATATACAACTAATAGAAGAGAAGCAAAAGAAAGAAGTAAAAGACTTCTGAATCTCAACAAGAAATGAGATTAAGAACAAGGAATGTAATTAAACCAATTTTTCTAACCACTCCGATGAATTTGGAAGAAGGAATTTCGACTTCTAATGTTAAGAAACCTCGAAGAAAAATACCACGTACTCCCTCTGCTGTTGACTAATTAGCTTCTTATAATATCGCTGAAAATATTCTTAACTTACCATCATCTGCAAAACTTGGACAATAGTTAAAATACCCAGATCAAAGGAGAAATTTAGCCAATGCTTTAAAACGAGCTATTATCAAAGAAACTAATAATGTTGACCTCGATGACGAATACGTAAGTGATAATGACGATATGCCTACAACTGCTGTTAGATGTACTATCCAAATTAATCACAGCAATGTACAAGCTATTCTCGACTCAGGTGCAGCTATTAGTATTATTACTAGTAGTTTAGTTAAACGACTTCATTTAAAAATCGATGAACCGTCTAAGATTATTATTAACACAGCAAATGGAAAAAGGGCGAGAGCTTTAGGAAAAATTAATACTGTTAAAATAACGATTGGATCTATTCGAATGCCAATAACCTTGCAAGTTATTGAATCACCTGATGAAAATCTATTATTAGGAACAGATTGGTTCAAACGAACTAAAGCCATCCTTAACTTTGATGAAAGAAAAGTAAAGTTTAGATACCTTACAAA